GACTACTGTTTTATATTTAACAAAACCCCAAAACCCCAAAACCCCAAAACCCCAGGAAGAGAATTTGATAAGAATTCTAAAGAAATAGATGATGATTAAATTGATAATTAATTTTAGAAACAAGATTACTTGGTATTTGTTAAATATAAAACAGTAGTCATATGACTCTCTGCTGCACTTGCTACCTCTATTGCACTTTATTTTGAAAACTAGAGCCAACTATATTTTATTTCTTAATCATCTCACTGTTATTTGAATCTTGACTCTAATCAACCAGCTTTTAGTATTGAAGCATTTCTTTTTCTTGCTAAGTCAATTATGCTTTAGCAAATGGTTACTGCTATTGCTAAGTTGCAGCTTAAGTTTTAATGAGAACTGATTGATTTCCAGCAGACTTCAGATTATCCTAGGAGAAGGCTGAGTTTTGCCTCTTCACATCATCTATCTTGCTCTTTCTAAAGCTTAAGTTCATTTATTCAACGACCATCTTTGACTTGAAGTCTAACTCTATGTCAGCCACATCAACCATCCTATCATGCAGTTTTTTCATTATCATTGCCACTTGAGTCTTCATTAAGTTCACCTGACACTGTAGCTTCAATCGCACTTCATCTGCCTCGGTAAGATCCTTTTCTACCTTTTACAAATTCTAAGCATATTTCTGTACGAATGGTTCATAGTCAACATTGCCATCATTTATAGGTGAAGGATTTGGACTAGGCTTTACAGTTGGTTTGCGATAATCCTTGACTATATGTGTAAATTTAAAGTAAATATCAATGCTACATTCCCAAATTCTCTTGTTTGCTAAGTTAAGGCTAAATTTCAAGGGGTTTCCAAACATAAGGTCTATCTTGTCAATAGGTACATAGCTCGGCTCGTCTAAAAGTAATGAATGATCTCAAGTGGAATTGAATACATTTTTTAGCCATTGCAAGTTTTGAATTTAAATATTATTAGTTTAATCATAATACAAATATTAATTAAAATTAAGATTAAGTTAAAATAATTATTTATTTATGGTAATGATAAAATTTGCAAAAAAATTACTCAAGACAAGCAACTTAATTAGAATAAGTGCAAGATAAATTAATACTTCAAATAGTAGCAACACTACTCAATCACAATTCTCTGAAAAAGAAGGGGATCTTGGCTTTTAGCCAGTGAATACATAATTCATCAAAGTAAATTAGACAATATAATCACTAAAAAGCCTTTAGAAGACTTTGAGTTTGACGGAAATGCATTTGCAGTCAATGCTATTAATTTTGCTAAATAAAAAGTGAAGCCTAAGGAAGTATTATAGAAGGAAAATGAATATCAGCTTAAATTGATTCGAGAGAGAATAAAGTTTCAAGGTGATCCCTTTGAGCTAGTAGAGAAGGATGTGAATGCAGTCAAAGACTTTGCCATCAATAATGTGGTAAGTTTTTATCTATATAGAGAATTGAGCATATCAATTTCTCTGTAATAAAACTTTCTGTTCATTTAATCAAACACTTTCATTAGATTAAGACAGAGTACAAGTAGTTAGAACTACCTGCAATCTACAACATGTCTCTAAAGGGAAAGAATTTCAGATCTGCAATTATGTGTATGCTGGCCAGAGCTATATTCAACAATAATCCCTAGTACTAAAATGTCAGCTCATAATTCGAACAGACTAAATACTACACCTAAGTTAAAACCCTATCAGCTTGCATTGAGCTTGCTCATAATGCCAGTCTGCTACAAGTAACAACATTCATTATAATGATGTATGCAGGATGATATAATAGACAAAGCAGAGTCAAGACGATCACAGCAAGCAGCTCATAAAATATTTGGTGCAAGTAACTCAGTATTTTCAAGTGACTTCATGATTTCAAGAGCCAGTCGAATGCTTACAATGAATTTCGACACCAATCACATTTCTCAAATATTCTCAACTATACTCTATAATCTTGTCTATGTATATTTCTAATAAGGATAAAGATTTTATAGGGAGAGTTGATCTAAGCTAAAAGGGATATGATGAAGAAGGGCTAGGTAAATACAGATAAATTTGATGTCGACGACTACTTTGGGTCATATGTGTCTAAGACCTACTACAAAACTGCCTCTATGATCTCACTAGGTTGCAGGTAACACATTATTCACAATGCTGCTCATATCTTATCTGCAATAATATAGAGGATTGGGCATTATATTTGATCTGGATACAGAAGCTCAGAGGAAATTGTTTAACTTCGGTGCTAATTTAGGTATTGCCTTCTAAGTTCATGATGATATCCTTGATTTCACTTAAAACTCTGAATAGCTAGGCAAGCCTGCTTACAATGACATAAAAGAGGTAAAATTCTTTCAATAAATATTTTATCAGGGTATAATAACTGCACCATTGGTATACACCTTTGTCGAAATGCAATAATAATAATCTCCCAATGTCTATGATTTTGAGCAAAGGCTTAAAAGAAAATTCTAAGAGCCAGGCGATGTTCAATTTGCTATCGATCACTTGTTCAAATCCTCAGGTATTGAAATGGCAGATAAGCTTAGTATCGACTACATCAATGAAAGCCTACTTAACCTAGATTCGCTTCTAGTTGAAGACACTAGCCAAGGGCAAAAGCACTCAATCATTAGCATTGATAAGGATGTGTATGCTTAAGCACTTTTAGGTGTTGCATTGAAAGTTAAAACTAGAAAATACTGAGAGAATTTTTATTAAATTGTGATTAATAAGAAGTAAATATCTTAGAAGTTAATCTGATATCTAGTGTTTTAATCCAATTAAATTACAGATTTCCTCTAATTTTGGATATTAACTTCTAATTAAGTATTTAAACTCCAAGCCCTTTGGAACTTATAATTCAATTAACAAATCACAAACAAATTCAAAATGGCCCCAAAGAAGACCGTCGGATCAGGAAGAAACACCCCAGCCACCAAGACTCAAAAGAAAGTAGTCAAGAGAGTTGCTGGTGAGAAGCATCACAACAAGAAGAGAAGAACCGAAACCTTCTCAGTCTACATCTACAGAGTTCTCAAGCAAGTCCACCCAGAGACCGGTATCTCAAAGAGATCTATGCACATCATGAACTCATTCATCGGTGATATCTTCGAAAAGATCGCCCTTGAAGCCTCAAAGCTTGTTAGATACAACAAGAAGCACACTCTCTCATCCAGAGAGGTCCAAACCGCCGTCAGACTCCTCCTCCCAGGTGAACTCGCCAAGCACGCCGTCTCAGAAGGCACCAAGGCCGTCACCAAGTACAGCAGCGCTTGAAAAAGATCAACACTGTTATCGTATAATTAGTTTTGTATATTTTCTAAAACTTAACTCTCAAACACTCTTAATCCTTTTAATATGTCTTCTCACTTCATTATATCTCAAATTCTCTAGCTGTAATCACATATGATTTTTCTGAGCATCATGATTATTTTAATAGATGCCATTAATTTAAGTCATTAGGCTAGTCTCTTAAATTAATCCAATATTTATTGAAATTTGAATTTTTAAGAAACAATTAACAGATTAATTTCTTACCGAATCAAATTCCTTTAAATATTCTATCATGGGGTTTTGGGGTTTTGGGGTTTTGGGGTTTTGGGG